TCCGAAAATTTTTTAATCTGATGAAGAAGACGACTCGTGGTTTTATATTGCGTTTTGCGACGGAATTTTCCGTCGCAATCCGTCACAAAATGAAATTTATTTACGCGCCCAAAATTCAAAAAATTTCGTCGAAAACCGAAAACAAATATATTGCGACGGAATATTCTGTCGCAATCCGTCGCAATTTTTATTTTCCGTCGCAAATCATCTATTTCTTTGTTGTGACAGAATTATCCGTCGCAAACCGTAGCAAATTGCGACGGATTTTGCGACTGCTTGCGACGGATAATTTTTTTCCACGTTCTGTCGTAAAATCGTCACATTCCGTCGCAATTTCCTGTGCGACGGAAATTTCCGTCGCAAATTCCGTCGCTATATGCAGGTTTTTTTGTAGTGATTGTTCTGTACTAGCGGAATAACTTAGGTCCGAAGCATGCTAATTTTCGGGATAATCCGGGTCGGACTTCGGACCTCGAACCCAAATTGACACCCTAAACTCGATTAGTAGGTTTTTGGTAAGACTATGAAGAGTTCTAGACGATCTTATTCTTCACGAGATGGCTCTTCGAATCCTTGTTCTCCGACGATGCCAACACCGATTTTTGGATTTAGAAAAATGGGATTTTGTGTATGGATTTAGGGATTTCTTTTTGTTTTCGCCCGGTTTGGTTTGATATGTAATTCTAATTTTAATTAAATTCGGTTCGAGTTTTCAATTTTTCGGTTCATTTGACATACATGTATAGTATATGTAGTGTTTCAGATCCACGTAAAAAGCTACGTTATTCGATTTAGTTGACAGATTTAACGTCGTTTCCTTTTTATGTATCGATTTAGAAAAATTATCCGAATCTGAATATTTATTTATCAAATAATTCGGGTTTATATGCGTTTACATTTAGGGTTTTACGTGGAATTTTCCTAATAATAATTTATCAAACCAAAAGATTAGGGTTGCGATGATACTGCAAATTGTCAATACATTATGCGTGTGGTCTGGTGACATGTCAAAGTCTACTGTCCGAAAGATATTTTGACAATAACTAAAATTAAAAATCTAGTTAACAACAAAATATTTTCACTAAACAAGATCCATACATCATAATTGGCAGATTTTTTTTTTACTAACGGCGACAATAAATTCTTAAATATTATCCTTATTCTATCGTCACTTCGGCAGTAATTTATGTATATGATATAAGATGTTTTACGATAATTTTAGGAAGATCATTATGTGAGTCAAATTTGAATTCTAAGATATATAATATATATCTATATATATATTATTCATGCAAAAAATTTAGCAAGATTTGTAAATACAAATAAAAACATCCTTATTTTGATAATACTATACATTTTTTCTTATAAAATTAGGAAATGAAACAAAATGTTTTCTTTTTTCACGAAGTAAGAGAAAAAAAATTAAGGAAATGAAATTTTTTATAGTAAAAAAACTAGAACAAGATAGGACAGTCAAATCAAGACACTGAGTTAGGATTTAAATTTTAGGTGTGCCTTGGTCTGTGGTTTGTTTAATTTTTAAAAAGAAAAAAATCAGATATAAAATACTCATCACTTGTAAAAAAAAATTACAAATAAATTCACAAAAAATAATATAAATTTACAACAAAATTCATTATTCCCCAACTTTAAGACAAGTTTTATATCAATATTGAGTTGTCAAAATTTTACCAAATCCTATCTTTGAATTGTTTCGTAATAATTTTTTTTTACTGGAAAATCAGATAAGGGGAATCGATCTTATCTTATCCAATATTTCCGGTTTTTCGTTCCCATATTGTCGCTGCAATCATAGTAAGATATCTTCTACCATATCAAAAACTAAAAATAAGGTTTAAATCGTAAAGAGGAAGTTAAAAATATGTTTCAACTAAAATTACCAAAACAAAAAAAAGTTATTAAGGACACGACTAGGCAAAAAACTGTTTTTTTTTTTACACTTGTCGGTCCAAAAAAAATACACACACAACTGTTATTGCCTGAAAGTCAGCTAGCGGTTACTTCAAATTTAGAAAATTCAAGATTTCTTAGTTTTAAAATTTTATTTAATATTTTGATTTCTCAACCCTATAAAGTTGGGATCTCGTCGTAATTTCGAAAATCACAATCCTTTCTTTTTCTCGGACACTAACGAGTTCAAATCAAGAACTCGAGTCACAGAGATTTTGTGCTTTTTATATAGTTAAATAACCGACAAGGGCGAAAACTTGGGTATTTATATAAGTTTTTGGGTTGGCGATCCAAGAAAAAATGGCAGGAGGAGCATTTGTAGATCAAGGTCCGGTTCGAGAATATAATTATCGATTGACACCGAAAGTGTTCGTAACATGTTTCGTTGGAGCATTCGGCGGTCTGATTTTCGGATACGATCTTGGAATTTCGGGTTAGTGGTACCTTCTCTCTCTCTCTCTTTTTTTTTTATAAATTTTTTACGGTTTAATCGTATATGGGGTTGTTTGGGATTTTGTTTGTAATGATCTTGAAATTAAAATTACCATATTTGGACCCGATTTCATAGTAAAACTTGCATGAAATTCTTGGAATTTCGAATTCCAAGATCTCTCGACCCAAAACGAGTTTTTTTTTTCGTTTCTATTTTTTATGGACCCATAGACGTTTAGGTTTTCCATAGAAAAAGTACTATTTTTTTATATTGGATTCAGACTTTAATTTAAATCGAATTTGATTATTTTTTTATTTGCGTTCAAACAACCCAAGTTTGGGTGAAAATTTCATTTTTTTTTACCATTATATCATTTTTCGTTTTTTAATATCGTTTTTTTTAATTTTATCGATTTGTTTTTCTACAACCGAACCAAATGATCATCCTTAATTTTTTTTTTTTTGGTATAATGGTTTCTTGCAGGAGGGGTAACGTCGATGAAACCGTTCTTGAAGGAGTTCTTCCCTCACGTGTACCACAAGATGGAGAATGCGCACGAGAACGAATACTGCCGATTCGATAGTGAGCTCCTGACGCT